CGATATGTGGGCCTCTCACTGTCGTGGCCTTTCCCGTTGCCGGACGCGCAAGCTCAGCGGCCACGGCTCACAGGCCCAGCCGCTACGCGGCTCACGGGCCCAGCCGCTACGCGGCATGTGGGATCCTCCCAGACCGGGGCACGAACCCGTATCCCCTGCATCGGCAGGCGGACTCTCAACCACTGCGCCACCAGGGAGGCCCTGAAGTTTACTTTTTTTTTTGCATTTTTTAAGTTTGTTTTTTTTTTAACATCTTTATTGGAGTATAATTGCTTTACAATGGTGTGTTAGTTTCTGCTTTATAACAAAGTGAATCATCTATACACATATACATATCCCCATATCTCCTCCAACTTGCATCTGCCTCCTGCCCTCCCGATCCCACCCCTCTAGGTGGTCACAAAGCACGGAGCTGATCTCCCTGTGCTATGTGGCTGTTTCCCGCTAGCTATGTATTTTACATTTGGTAGTGTATATATGTCCATGCCAGTCTCTCACTTTGTCCCAGCTTACCCTTCCCCCTCCCCGTGTCCTTGAATCCATTCTCTACGTCTGCCTCTTTATTCCTGTCCTGACCCTAGGTTTTTCAGAACTTTTTTTTTTTAAGATTCCATATATATGTGCTAGCATACGGTATTTTTCTCTTTCTTACTTCACTCTGTATGACAGACTCTAGGGCCATCCACCTCACTACAAATAACTCAATTTTATTTCTTCTTATGGCTGAGTAATATTCCATTGTATATATGTGCCACATCTTCTTTATCCATTCATCTGTCGATGGACACTTAGGTTGCTTCCATATCCTGGCTACCATAAATAGAGCTGCAATGAACATTGTGGTACATGACTCTATTTTTTTTTTTTTTTTTTTTTTTTTTTTTGGCTGTGTTGGGTCTTCTTTTCTGTGCGAGGGCTTTCTCTACTTGCGGCAAGCGGGGGCCACTCTTCATTGCGGTGTGCGGGCCTCTCACTATTGCGGCCTCTCCTGCTGCGGAGCACAGGCTTCCAGAGGCGCAGGCTCAGCAGCTGTGGCTCATGGGCCCAGTTGCTCCACGGCACGTGGGATCTTCCCAGATCAGTGCTCGAACCCATGTCCCCTGCATTGGCAGGCAGATTTTCAACCACTGCGCCACCAGGGAAGCCCTGTGGTACATGACTTTTGAATTTTACTTTTTAATGAGCTAATTAAAATGATATTTAATTCCTAATTCCTTATTTTTATTTATTTTGCGGTATGCGGGCCTCTCACTGTTGTGGCCTCTCCCGTTGCGGAGCACAGGCTCCGGACACGCAGGCTCAGCGGCCATGGCTCACGGGCCCAGCCGCTCTGCGGCGTGTGGGATCTTCCCGGACCGGGGCACGAACCCGTGTCCCCTGCATCGGCAGGCGGACTCTCAACCACTGTGCCACCAGGGAAGCCCCTAATTCCTTATTTTTAAAAGGTGTTTTTTGAATTCATTCTAAAATGCACGTGGTCAGGTTGCAGTGGCCAATTTAGAGCAGGATATACCAACTTCCTTAAGAATTAATGTCAGTTTACAGTATTTTTATTGATTAAAGAGACTTTTAAATAAATGTGCCACATATCATTTCATAGGAAAAGTTAACAGGAGATACATGACTTATCCTGGAGTTCTCAGTGGAGCAGAAACAAAGTTCCTGAACTATAAATCATTTCTAAGTTTATGAGATCTTTACCTTTGAAATGAGTGAGAAGTATAATTTTCTGTTGTCTAAGATCTGAAATTAATGGTAGGAGATAGATATATAGATATATACACCTTGCTGATCTTCTATTTGCTGGGCAAATAAGGAATAAGATCCTCTTCAGAATCAGTTCACCTGATGATCCATAATGACTTAAGTTCACTTACGTTTATGCTAGCCTCTTGTATTCTGCCCAGGCATAGGTAAATGGAAGAACAGAGTGGAGGTAAAATCTTTGTTTGGAATACTTCTGAAGTCATGTATCCTTGAAATTATAATTGAATCAAGAGAAACTGACGATACTCTGTCCCTCCTTCAGTGTTTCCACTTCTTTATGTGCTAAGAAAGTGATTAGGAGAGATCTGTGATGTTAGACATTTTGGTTTGATAACAAGGTTCAAAAAACCTTATTTTAGTAAACATTTTTATATCTTTCAGAATATGATGCATTGGCAAAAGTGATCCAGCGTCATCCAGACAGGCATGAGACATTAAAGTAAGTTCAGAGTTTTACTCTGAAAGGAACTAATCTTTATCCGTAAATGTTTACATACTAGTCTATGCATTCCATTTTTGTGGGAGTACATCATCAAAAGGAGGAGCCCGATCTTCAATAAAAAGAATTAACTAGATAAACACTTTTTAAACACAGATCTCAAAAACAATTAGTGAAGGAAAAATAGAAGACATATACAATGAATTTTAAATTATTCCTAAATTTCAGAAATACATACAGAATAATAACCATTTATAAAAGTTAGGGCCCCCCAAATATTATATACTTATACTGTATGTTATTTAGAGATACAAATATATGTGTAAAAAAGGATTAGAATGATATAGTGATTACCTGAATGGGGAGTAGAGGAGGAGAAAAAGGCCCGTTTCAGAGGACTAGGGGTGAAGTTCAAAGGGTATTTCAAGTTAACCTGCAATTTACCAAAAAAAAAAAAAAAAAAAAAGACTTGAAGTAAGTATGACAAAATGTTAAAAGTTACCAACTCTTGGGGTTTGATATCCTATTATCAAGTTTTTCTATACTTTAAAAGTTATCTAAAATTTAATTTTAATGAAAATTAGTGCATATTTAGAAGAAATCACCCTTAGTTTTAAAAGTCTCACCATAATGGAGTATTATAACTCCTTATCTTTTATTTTTAAAATAAATACTATTTAGTAACTAAAAAGTTAGATATTAATTATGAATTCTGTTCCCCCAATTAGCAAAATATAACACTATTTTATTTTTTTCAGGGAACTAGAGGCTCTGGGAAAAGAATTAGAGCATCTTTCGCATATTAAAGAAAGTGTTGAAGATAAGGTATTTGCATGTGATATATGTTAGCCTTTGTGTTCTGTATAGGTTTATAGATCAATGTGTATTAATTTTTTTTCTTATTAACACAGCTAGAATTGAGAAGGAAACAGTTTCACGTTCTTCTTAGTACCATCCACGAACTTCAACAAACACTGGAAAGTAAGTAACAAGAGTCGCAAAATGAATGTCTGAAGATTTTTAAATGATCAGAGGCATGTCTTCTAAAATATACATTTTAAAGAGAGCGCACCTTCAGTTTCAGAACAGGAGTGTAGCTGGATGACATTAGAAGGTACTCATGTTGTTCATCTTTCTGATTATATGCAGAAAAGCCTGAATATGTATGATTTGAATACCTGTCTAGTGGTTTGTAAATTAAGAGAAATTTAAGCATGGTAGATTTGGAATTGTTCTTGGTTTACTGTAGTATATTGCTATAAAGTAACAGTTCAGGACCCAGGCGGGCAACAAGTGAATGAAATAATCAATGCATAAACACATTTGCATTCTCAATGAACTAGGTGCTTTGGGGACCAGGGGACTTGCTCTTTGTATTGACTAAAGCCAATTTTTATGTTACCTGATCTTCTGATTGTTTGCAAAAAAGCCTAAGACCTAGATTTTTTTTTTTTAAACTGAAGTCGATCACATAAAATTTGCATTTTGATTCAACTAATAACAACAACCAAAACAGGACTTTTCAAACCAAACCCACTTGTGTGGGTCAATTACAGTCATAGGCTGCCATTTCGCCATTTTTGCTTTAAATATATTCGCTAAGAAAGGATAAAAGTGTTTTCATGTATTCATCAAACATATAATTTAAGTAAATTTGATTAAAGTTTTATGTTTCTTTCTCTCAATTGCAGATGATGAAAAGCTCTCAGAGGTAGAAGAAACTCAAGAAACAAGCATGGAAACCGATCCTAAACCATAGACCAGCTAATCACTCACCATATTCCCAAGATCTTCGTGCGCTCAGAACTGGTTGTGCTCTTGAGACATTTAAAGTTTTGGCAGTGAACTACGTTGCTGTTAAATTTTAATTCACAGCTCATTCATATTTCTTCACACAAAGGGAGATGACTTCATTATATATTTGTTTTTATTGAAATGCCTTTTTTTTTTTTTTTTTTTTTGCGGTACGCGGGCCTCTCGCTGTTGTGGCCTCTCCCGTTGCGGAGCACAGGCTCCGGACGCGCAGGCTCAGCGGCCATGGCTCACGGGCCCAGCCGCTCCGCGGCACACGGGGTCCTCCCGGGCCGGGGCACGAAACCGTGTCCCCTGCATCGGCAGGCGGACTCTCAACCACTGCGCCACCAGGGAAGCCCTGAAATGCCTTTTTTATACTTAAAAGATAGGAAGCAACATCCAAAAATGTTTAATGAAATATTTTCAAGCCAGATATGTTAGTGCTCATTGGTATTCTAGGCAGTTTTTAACTGGTAACATTGATTTGCTCACAAAATAAGTGGAAGATAGTGAGAAGGTGGCATTTCTAGGATGTACCTGAGAAAATTAGTCAATTTCTGGAAATCGTTACCACTTTTGAAAATGAAGTCCATGAATAGGCTCTCAGGAGGGCTGTGAACTTGTGAAATTATGTACAAAATGTTTGTGGTGTATGCTTATTGTGGGAGAGTTTCCATGATTAAGAATCACTGATATCAGAGGTAATTACAAGATGCAAAGTAAATCAATATGCAAAACTTTCTAGATCTCTGTCCTTAATACTTGAGCAATGTGGTTGTTAAATGTTTTGTTGAAATGTTTTCTCTCTATCGTTTTGTTCTGTAGGAGTCATTTTCAAGAGTCTTGCAAACAGGATTTCATGATCTTTTTAAAAAAATTAAGCCAGGTCTGAATCACTTATAATTGTCTTAAGTATTGAATTACATGTCTAATATTTGTTAGGGTCTATCCTTATCCATTTATTTTAGTGCAGAAACATGGCATTTTGCATGAATCATACCTTAATAATGCTACATTTTTGTAATTTTGATACAAACTCGTATCTTTAAAAACGAAAGTTTAAAGTTAACTCAATAGTAGACACAGTGAAAGTGGCAAAATACTTTTAAGTGCTTCCTCTAATTTCATCTGGCAAATTTCATGGGAGAAATTTCTTTGCAGAATTGCTATGCCCTGATATTTCTATTTTCCATTATTAGTAAGAATTATGAAGCAAAAATTTGCTTATATTGACTCAGAATTAAAAATCAATTTTTCCCAAAGGATCTTTTTATAAGGACTGCTGGGCAGAATATATTTACCACCCACCCTACCCCCCTTAACCCCCCCGCTGCCGCCACTGATTAAGAGAAACTTATTCAGGATTATGTACCAAAAGATAAGAACCCCTATGAACATAACTTTGGCGCTGTCAGAAACAAAATCAGAAGCAGCACCAGGTACATGGGAAACACACGTTTTTCAATTTATACTTCCTCATGGTTCTCTTGGATATCCTCTGGAACTGCTTGGAAGACTGAAGGATTTCATCCCCTAGAAACTCACACTGTTGAAGCTCAGCGTGTCTTTGGGCCAATAGCTTCATGGATTTATCTGTCACTGCTTCTATGAGGTCATCCACCTATGACAGCCAGATACAGAGAAGTGAAACCATGTGCTAGAAAGCCTTGTCCACACCCAAAGGAGGCCTGTTTTTCCTGAGAGATAAGTTCAGGAATTGTTGGACGTTTACAAGTCCCAAAGTATTAATCTAATTCAAGTCATAGCAAACAGAGCTTGAAAACATGCATTTACCACCCAGTGGTAAAGAGGATCTCATTTCTTCTCAAAAGAAGCCCATGTGTGTGCCTTCATTTTAACTGAATTCACTTAATATTTATTAGGCACACAGCACCATCCTCGGTGCCCTCAGCAATCCTGTAGCCACTCTTGAATGCCCCCCACTAACATTCCTTCATGCTAATCATTAGTTTCATCCCACATCCGCGCTGTCTAGCAGGGCTGTGCATTCAGTTAAGCCTGGCCCTCTGATGCTTTTGAAACACCAAAGTAAAAGCCTTTGTCCACTACCTGCATTTGAAGCTTTCCTACTGTCAAATCTGATTTTCGGAGGATGTCTTCCGTGCTGTTTCTTTTTTTTAAATGCTGGAAAGTGGTCTCTTTTTTGAGGAATACGGGACTGTCATAAAAATGCAAAAATACATCAGATTAAGAAGTGCCAACATGATATCTGTGACGGTGCTTAAATGAACATTCTCACCTTTGGGACATTCTCTTATGAACTGAACATTTGCCACATAACAACGTCAAGTTGGAGGTCGTATTCATATTATTCTCCACCCCACAGGTATCTCCTTTGTGCCCAGAGCTCGCTTTGAAGAGATCTATAGGGTGCAGAGAAATGAGATTGTCTGGTTCTAAGAGCAAATACAGTGTCAGGAAAAAAGCAGGTCACTTGTAAGGGGAAGAAGAAATTGCTTCTGCAGCCGCTGAGCACAGAGTGTGGGGCTGTTGTAGACCAGTGCCCCAGAAAGCTCATTATCACTGGATCCAGTTGTTAATTCGGTCTCGTTTCTGCAGGTTTCCTTATTTTCATGACAGACATCTCTCCAAACATAAAAAGAAAGCTCTGGGTTCTTTTCGCTGCGTGCCTGATACTCTTCCCCTGGTCCCTGGCTTGCTGGTTACAAGTACCTGTGCTATTGGAAATCATTCCTAGGTCATGGCTCCTGGCTAATATGCCCTTTTTAGTCTTATTGCGCTCACTCTTCCTTCCCCTGTGCTTAGCAATTAGCACCAGGACTATTGTGAGGCCTACACAAAGTAGGATGTGGGACCACATCTGGGTCTTGCCCTTTGCCTGAGTTTAAAAATGAGTCTGCGGAACCTCCGCTCTGCCCTGCCAGCTCACCCAGGCTCAAGTGTCACTGGCAGAATCTTCCCCAGTCCGTCCAGAGTACGACTCCTCTTTTTCCTCTCTCGTAAAACCAAGTGTTTTGGGGGCTTTTTTTTTCTATTAAGCACTTGGTAATTACTTAAGTTATTTCTGTGTTTGTTGAATACCACTATTAAAAAGTCAAATGCCTTGAAGGGTCAGGCAGGGTTTGCAAAACAGGCTCACTTGGGGCTGGTGTGAACTGGAGAGAACACGCCCTCCTGCAAAGGGGGCAGGCCTCTGCGCCTGCTGCCGTGGCCCCAGGAATTGTGGGCCCAGTGTTGCCAACTCCTCCTATTTTCCAAAAGGAAGTTGAAAATCCAGATTTCTGTTTGAATTTTTCTAATTTTGAAATGTGGGCCATTAATTCAAATATACTTTTGAGAACATTCTGAGAGCTAACAGTGCCACAGTTTAATGTCCATCTCCTCTATCAAACTATAAGTTCCACACAAACAGGACCATGACCTTGGATCACCTTTATAGCCTCCCCAAACTGCCCAGCACATAAAAGGAATACGATAAGTGCAAACTTAGCACAAAAGAGGTAAAATTCAAAACGAATATTGGTGCACTCTGGCAGTGACGCTCTAGAGCAGCACTGTTCGACAGAACTTTCCACAAAAATGGAAATGTTCTTATCTGTGCTGTCCAGTACAACAGACACCGGCCATATATGTTTACTGAGCACTTGAAAGGTAGCTAGCGCAGCGAAGGGAATGGACTTTAATTTTAATTAATGTAAATAGTCACACGTGGCTATTGGCTACCATATTGGACAGTACAATTAGTACCTAGCATAGTAATTAGGAGTAAGCACTCCAGAGTCAGGTCTTCTGCTGTTTGAAGCCTGGCTCTTCCAATTATCTGGGCCAATTACTTAACCTCTCGTTGCCACCCCTAAAATAATATCCTACGTACTGTAGTAACCTATTGCTGTCTACCTTATAGGGCTGTCGTTAAGGATTAACTGAGTTGGTATTTTTAAAGCACTGAGAACAGGGCCTGGAACACAGTCAGCTTTAAGTAAATGCTTATTATATCTAAAGTAATGATAGTATTTCAGGGTTCTATTAAAAAGATAGTCTGGGCAATTTAGGCTAAAACTTGATAAGTACAGGTAAGTACAAGCTTTGGGTTGGAGAGTCCTGGATCACCTAGTGCTGTACTGTCTATACTATACCTATGGCTATTTGTATTCTAATTTCAATTACAATGAAATAAAATTTAAAATTCAGCTCCTCAGTTGCACCGGCCACATTCCAAAGTCTGAAAAAGCCACACGTGCTAATGGCTACTATTTTGGACAAATGTACACTTGCATCCTCGCAGAAATTCTATTGGGTTGGTCTAGAGAATTCCTCTCCACATGTATGCATGATAGGCCAAGTGCTAATATACTAATGAGTCTTGATATTTGAACAGCTGACAAAGTCAATATAAAGCTGTCAACTCCACTGTTGCCCAGATTGTAGCAGAAGCTGGACAGTTTGAGCGCAGAACTAGAGGAATCAGAACTGGAAAGTCTGCATTCTGTGCCCTAAATTCTGGGAGTGGCGACACACAAGTAGCAGCTTTAAATGCTTTATTATGAGGGACTTGCAGTGGGAGAGAACTTGGTTTTTACAACATCCCTAAACACTGACTTACTGATAAGTCTTTAGAGGCGAGTTTGTTTTAGCATTTTACCTTCTGCAGTCCCGAGGGAAGGGATGTCGCACATAACCGCTTGGTGGTTCTCCTGGCTCGGAGGAGTGTATTTCCTTGGGTTATCTCCTCTGTCTCTGCTTCTACAACATCAAGTTGTATAGTTGCTTGGAGGGAAGGGGAAGAAAAAAACAGACAATCTTGAAGGATCACAGTAATAGACACATGCTCCCTATTTGAAAGTCTCCTGAAAAGCCAGCATCACACGCTGTCTCAGTGGCTTTTTGATTTGGGGTTAAAAATTAAAAATGGATTTGTTTTGCTGAAGCTTACACTTTCTCCTGAACATTTGCCTTTTCTTGTGGTCATGACCTCAGTGGTCA